TGCCACCCCCATGATCATAGCAAAAGACCCAAAATCCCCAATACCACCAATTCTTGCCATTTCAGACTTGTGTAAGTTTATCTTGAGTCCTGAAACAGTGTGGAAGCACATAAGCACGCATATCAAATGTAGCATGTTTCCCAAATCCTGTTGACAGAAAATTAGGGTATCATCGGCAAAGAAAAGATGAAAAACTTCAATAGTAGCCCATCTCCTTCCCACCGAAACACCCCTAATCAGTTTCTACTCATGAGCCCTATTGAGTAACTTGTTTAAAGCCTCCATCACTATTATAGACAAAATGGGGGATAGTGGATCGCTTTGCTGCAATCCTCTTGAAACATTGAAGAAATTTGAAAGGCCCCCATTTACTAAAATAGTAAAAGAAGTGGTAGTGACACAAACTTTCATCCGTTTTCTCCATTTCTGTCCAAACTCCATTCTCAAGAGCATGTAATCCACAAAATTCCAATTCACGTGATCATATTCTTTTTCCATATCAAGTTTACACACCAAGCCATCCTTTTTATTAATCAATAAATCATCAACCGTTTCATTAGCAGACATAACAACATCAAGAATCTGCCTACCACCCACAAAAGCATGTTGACAATCTCCGATTATTTCCCCTATCACTTTAACTAATCTTCTAACCAACACCGTAGCAACAAACTTATATATACATCCAATCAAGCTTATGGGTCTAAAATCTTTGAATTCATTAGCACCACTTTTCTTGGGAATGAGGGTAATAAAGGTAGTATTAAGAGATTTAATAAACTTACCCTTAGAGTGCAAATTTTCGAAAACAGCCAAAATATCCTCTTTCAACAAAGGCCAGAAACACTGCAGAAAGTTCATGCTAAAACCATCGGGATCCAAAGCTTTATTATCATCACATGAATTTAACCCCTCAAGGATCTCTTCCGCTGTAAATTCTTCTTTTAAATATTGTCTGCTCTCTGTAGAAATACTTTGAAATGACAAGCCATCCAGTTTAGGTCAACAATCACGAGTCTCCAAATACAGGTTTGCGAAAAACCCTTTAACAACCTCGCGAAAGCAGCATTTCCCCCCAATTTTCTTTTCATCAATAACAATCTCTTCAATATAGCTAATTCTGCAGCGATAAGAGGCCAAAGCATGGAAGTATTTCGTATTTCGGTTCCCTTCCTCCGGCCACTTCTCCCTAGACTTCTGTCTCCACATCATTTCCTCCTCTTTCAAATAAGAGGCAAGGTGAATCTTTAAATTACCCTTCATATTTTGTTCCTCCTCATCCAAACCATTTTCTTCCTCTTTAGAATCCAAAGAGCTGATGTC